AGGTTCAGTCACCAATAAAATCCCCGTCTAAGTGACATACCTTATTCCTCTCTAAAAGAAGGGGACCGGGAGGGAAGGCCTTTCAGGTTTCTAATCTGAGTAGATAATGTTTTGCCTCCAGGCCAGGGGTGGGGAACATTTTTCCTGCTAAGGGCCATTTGGATATTTGTAACATCATTCACTCAACACACTGCTGACCAGTAGTTTTATTGCTAGTTTTACCCAGTGGCCAGATAAGTTACTGTGGAACGAGTACAAAAAACGTTTTATATAAATGTTAAAGACACACTTGAAAATTAAATACCCATTGCATTTTGAAGTTATTTATTACATGTTCTTACAAGCTAATATCTCTTTAAAGTATGATACTTTGTAAAACACTGTAATATGAAGCGAGAATTCTCATGATCCGTCCGCATAATATATTTAAAATACATTTATGTTGCTATAGACAAAGCTCCTAGATTTATTGAATTTTGAGCCTGACCTGTGGTTGCCTGGCAGGGCCAGACCAAATGATAAGGCCCATTCCAGTGGAAAAGCCTCAAGAAGAGCATGGCCACTGCAACTTGATGCTTGAACTTCCCCACCTCACCTCCCACACACGGTGTTTGGGGCATTCTTAAGCAGCACGTAAGGGGCCAGGCTTCCCCCAGTAGCGAACTCTCGAGGGGTCTCGTAGCCAAGTGCTCTTTGGATCTGTGGTGTTAGCAAATGAAACTGAAAAGCCCTGGGTTCCATCAGGTAGGTAAGGAGCTGGTCTGGGACCAGTTTCCCGAATGACATGTGTGCATGCGGACAACTGTCACCCCTTCTGGTCATCTTTTCCCTCTCAGCTCTGGAAGACTCTGACGGAAGTCAGGACTCCCCAGCTGGGGAATTGCCAAAGAGGGGTCACCAGCCAACAGGTAAGTAAAAAGCAGTGTTCTCAGAGCCTTCGGTGGAAGCTCCCACCATGGCTTCCCCCCAGACAAAAATTGTAAAGAGATGAAAGCAAGAGCTGAACTATATGGCTCTTCCCCTCGATCAGATAGGAAACACTGACTTCACACCTTAAGCCATGTTTGGTAATAGCCTCTCTGAGTCTCATTGCCAAAGTTTTTCCAAAGTCAAGTAGTGTGCCCCGAGTTAGGAATACCACGTACCTTACTCTGACCACTGGCAGCTTTTTACACCACAGCGGTATTAGGCAGGGTTGACTTCACTTGTCTTTCTCTTTACAGAATCTGAGCCAGTCACCATAAATATCCAAGACCTACTTTCCTGTTCTAATTTTGCAGTGCAACACAGGTATCTGTTTGAAGAAGACAGTCTTTCACGGTCTGCACAAAAACTGTTCCATTCCACAAAATCTTCAGGTAATTCCTAGTAGAACATGAGTAGAGGTCAGTGATGGCGAACCTATGACACGCGTGTCAGAGGTGACACGCGAACTCATTTTTTTGGTTGATTTTTGTTAAATGGCATTTAAATATATAAAATAAATATCAAAAATATAGGTCTTTGTTTTACTATGGTTGCAAATATCAAAAAATTTCTATATGTGACACGGCACCAGAGTTAAGTTAGGGTTTTTCAAAATACTGACACGCCGAGCTCAAAAGGTTCGCCATCACTGCTATAGGTTATCTTGATAACAGCCTCTCCGCTTGCCAACAAACTCAGTGTAAGAGAGGAAAGGAAAGGAGGAATGAGGAAATCAGGTGGGGAAAAGAGAATGTAAGTAAAATGAGATCTAAAAAGAGGAACTGAAGTGGTCTCCCCATCCACAGTGCAGGCCACTTCGGAGCTGGAAGGCTTCCCTGGGTTTACGGGATCTGGCTGTGTGGAAAAAGTTGAACATTTCTTTCATTACGGTTTCCTCCATGTGCTGATTCAGTCCCATTATTATGCGTCTGGGAAATCTGGTGGGCTCACAGAGGTGAACGCTTTCCATCTGCTTTCTCAGGAAGTCCTTTGGAAGACAAACCTGATGAGTGCAAATGTGAAAACCTCATAATGTTCCAGACCCTTGCAAATGAGGAAGTAAGAAAATTAACACAACGCTATATCCTTTTCTGGTTTGTGCTTCTGTATGGAATGCAGAGACATTATCAAACCACCCCAAGCACAAAGGAAGTCATTTCCATGATGCCAAGAGCAGTGAGCTCCGGGGAAGGCTTCTTTCTCAAGCAGCCTGATAGGATCTGGGAGCCAAGGGCGAGCCCAGCTTAGTGCAAGGCTCAACCACGGAGCTGAGCTGCCGTCTGCTGTTCTGGAGGGCTTAGCAGGAAGGCCAGTTGGCCAGTCAGTATGCGGAGGAAAGAAACACACATGTAAGGAACTCCCTCTTTGCTGGGAGAAAATGGAAGTTACGTCCCGATAGGAAGTATACCAAAGGTCTAGTATCAGGAGCAAAGCACGTTGTGGAACCAAGAGGTTTCAAAGTCCCTCTAAACGCCAAGCTTTTCCTTTGGCCCCAACCCACACTGTAGCCACATTTGGTCAGTGTTTAGTTTCTAGAGGACTGGGGTTGGGTTTTTTTGTTTTTGGTTTGGCAGCAAAGATCTTTTATATCAGCACTCTAAGATGAAACATTCCACCAAGGGAACAGCAGGATCCAGATTCATTAAAACAATATTACAAATAAGAGGAATGCTTTGGGATAACGGAGAAATGAAGATTTAGCACTTTACACACGGAACAGCCTGCCAACTGCTCTGAACTTATTAATCAGCGTACTAAAGCTGGCTTGTATCTATCTCAACATGGATCAATCAGCCAGTCAGTAGGGAAATGGTTTAATTCAGAACTATTTGTGTCAGTGGGTTTCTGTAAGGAACAACATATAGCAATTACCTTTCTGAAAACTGGAAATATGGTCCCCTAAAAAAATATGACTGATTAACACATCAGGGCTCTCATTCTGCCAGCAAGAGGGTGGGTTAAGGTATTAAGGAGCTTCCAGGAAGACAAGTGCCTATTCAAATGAGCCTCTCCTCTTCCTTTTTCCCGCCTCAACTCCGAGGGTCTACTTCACAAGAGACTAAGAAGTTTTATATCAAAGAGCACAGGTCAGCAGTCTTCAAGGTTGCTACCCTTTGGCCATACCTGACCTAAGTGAAAACTCCCCATTTCTCTCCTGACTTGAGAGATGGCCATATCTTACTTTCCAAGGCTTAATGCTTTTATTCTCTTCACTACATCACCAATATTATCAATTCCGGCTCACAGAGGTGTGTTACTGCAAACTAATTTATAAGTAAGAAGTCTGATTAGAAATTAAAAAAAAAAAAAAAGTTGAACCAAGCTATCCTGCTTTGATGTTTTAACTCCAAAACAGTTTTGGTAGCATGTGTTAATAGTATAAATTTACAAGTCAGGTTTTAAACTTACTTAACAGAAGCAGGAGGGGAAAAGCCTTATATTTTTAGGACAAATTTTTATGTAGGTAAATCAAGTGATATTTAAATGTAAATAAAAATGAGCGATTCCTCTTCCTTAATTTGAGATGTACTAGAAGAAATGACACAGAGAATGGAAGCCCTAGAAAATCGTCTGAGATACAGATGAAGATTGGAAATACTCTGTATTTGTATGTCATTGTATCAAGGACTACAACGAAAGCGGTTCAGAGCCCCAAAGCTCAGGCTATCGCTAATTCTGTAAGGTTGTTAACATGGTTAGTACTGAGAAAGCTGGTTCGCTATGGCACAGAGGCAAAAAGTAGACACTAACTTGTATAAACTTAATGAGAAAAAAAATCCTTCAGATTCCTAAAATGAGTTTACCAAATGAGAACACATAAGCTATGCAAGATACTCTGTACCATACTGTGGACATGATCTGCTTTTGCCCCGTCCTCCCTTAGAATGTTGCAATTGCATTGGACTACAAAGTAAAGTTTGCACGGTCTTACTGCTGTAGAACACTGGCCATAGGAAAAGCTATTTTTTGTATTGGACTTTACCTTGATATATGTATATGGACGTATGCATAAAATCATAGGACATGTACTTGTGTAACAAGTTGTTTTTTTAATACAATATTAAAATTCACTTCAGAGATGGCACTCTGTGTAAAATTCTTAGTTTAACTTTAAATGCATGGTGTAAACATGAGATATGACCAATATGCGTATGAAAGAAATGTTGAATCTCACTGGTAATCAGGAAAATGCAGGTTAAAACAATAGCTTGGCAAAAATGAGTATGTCTTACTCTAACACGTGTTGGTAAGGATGTGGAAATCTGGGGCTCTTGTACAACGTACACAACCTTGTACTCTCGCCTCGCCTCGGCATTTTAGCAGGAATGAGACCTATGCAAGAATGTTGCTACAGTTTACCAAAGTCACATATTAGAAACAATCTGACCATCAGGAGGGTAACTGATGAACTGTGGCATAATCCATCATTCAGAAATAATATACAGCATTTAAAAGTAACACACCTACATGCATACCGGTTAAACTAAAAAGCAAAGTTAAATTTAAAAAGCCAATATTAAAGTACGTTTAGCGTACCATTTCTGTAAATGTAAAGAAACCCTCAAACACAACTATTGGTTCAGATACATAAATATGTACATTTAAGTACAAAGAAATGTTCTGGAAGGATTTATACAATAGTGGTTGTCCCTGGGAAAAAGAAGTGGGAATGGGGACAAGGCCAAAGGAGACTTCAGGTGGATCAGGTCAAGGCATCTAGAGCAGCAAGAAAACACCGCAGGTGGCAGCTTCATTAGGAAATGAAGACACCCCAAAGATATCCACCCATCGACTCGGGAGGCCAATTGATGCCTTACAAAGTACCTTGAATAAGCTTTTGTTTAAATTATTTCAAGACAGCCCAGCTGGTGTGGCTCAGTGGTTGAGCATCAACTCATGAACCAGGTCATGGTTTGATTCCTGACCACGGCACATGCCAGGGTTTGGGGCTCAATCCCCAGTAAGTAGCGTGCATGAGGCGACTGGTGATGTTTCTCTCTCCCTCCCTGAAATCAGTAAGAGCACATTTAAAAAAAATTATAAAAAAGTTTTTTATTTCAAGGCAAGTGTTTCCATCAGAATGTTCTCCCACAGGGCAGTGTGGTACAGTAGGAACACCTAGGCTCAGTCGTATCTGAAAATGATTCTTTCCAAGTATAAAATGAATAATTCAAAGTCTAGTTTATACTTGAGTCATCCACTTGATCCAGTAAACAGATTTTCATTAGGAAGCATTGATTTGGGTTGGCATTACCCTTTGAGATGTAATTGACTCCATTCTACTTCACTTTCTGTTGAGTCCTGGCTCCCTCTAGTGGAGGAAGTACATTATATAATGGTTAATGTTCAAGATGTTCAAGACCCATTATCAACAAGATGAAGATGAAATTCTGGACTAGAAAGCCACAACCATATCAATGAGAATTAAGTAAAGGTTTAAGCCCTAAAAGTCATTATTCATTATGGTTTTTGAATTTTTATTATGTGCCAACCACATAATCAATGATAAAATGTTGAAAATATTAAGTCCCAGGGAGTGGGCTGGAGGGGGTCAATGGGGGAAAAAGGGTGACATATGTAACCTTCAACAATAAAGATTAAAAAAAGAAAGAAAAAAAATGTTAAGTCCCTATTCTCTGGAACCTTAGTTTAATGAGACGGATGTGAATGCCATAAGGTTCCATGGTAACTCAGAGGCACCCAATCTAGGCTGGGAGAGGATGTTGGGGTGACCTGAAAGGGGAAAGAAACCAGATACCACAAGCAGAGGGAGCAGCAAGTCTAAGTTGGAAATAACAATTGCAAGAGAGAATATCAGAGAACTGTTTTCCATGAACCAGATACTATCTTCCAGAAAGTCCAACGAAGTTTGGTTTCTTCTCTATTTAACTTTTGCTCCTGCTATACCATACGGACTGCAATTAACACTCAAAATCCAACCTCTTCTTTGGGACATTTAGAAAAAAATATCTCTCAACATAGGTATGGGACTAAATATAATTGGCTGGAACATCTAGTACCCTATATACACCGGCTTTCCAGCCAAATATAATCAGAACATTTAAAAATATCACCTGGGTGGGCAAACTTTTTGACTCGAGGGCCGTAATGGGTTCTTAAACTGGACTCAGAAGGAGCTGCAGCCGTGTTTCCCGACGTTGCCATGTTAACACTGCTGCTGGTGAAGGAGCGGAGGGGAGAGCAAGAGAACCCTCCGCTCTTTCGGCTCCTCGGGCCGGATAGAAGAGCCGAACGGGCCGGATCTGGCCCGCGGGCCGTAGTTTGCCCAGGGCTGCCTTAGACCTTCCCAGATCTTAGCTTTAAAAAAAACATATTTTATTGATTTCAGAGAGGAAGGAAAGGGAGAGAAACATCAATGATGAGTCATTTATCGGCTGCCTCCTGCATGCCCCCCACTGAGGATGGAGTCCACAACCTGGGCAAATGCCCTTGACTGGAATCAAACCCCAGACCCTTCAGTCTGCAGGCTGATGCTCTACCCACTGAGCAAAACCAGCTAGGGCCAGATCTTGGCATTTTTTAAAAATTGTGGCAGCACTTGAATGGCATTTTATCACAGCTGCCTTGGACCATAATAAGGTGTTTTGTCTTTTGCTTAAAACTTCCTTTCTTGAACTTAAAAACCCTTTCTTGCTAAAACAATCGTGAGTGCACAAGCATATATAAAATGGTGAAAGCCTGCTCATCCGGTGTGGCTCAGAGGTAGAGCATTGACCTATGAACCAGGAGGTCATAGTTCGATTTTCGGTCAGGGCACATGCCTGGGTTTTGGGCTCAATCCCCAATGTGGGTCATGCAGAAGGCAGCCGATCAATGATTCTCTCTCACCACTGATGTTTCTATTATCTCTCCCTTACCCTTTCTCTCAGAAATCATTAAAAAATATATTTCAAAAAAGTAATAAGGTAAAAGCTAAATGATCGTATAGCATATTATCATCACTACCTAGGAGAAGACCCTAGAAATCATAAAGTATTTCCTAAAATCCATCATTAAAAAAATGCCACAGCCAATACTGGAACCTACACTACTTGTATTCTTCAGGTCGCCACCCCTTAAGAAATTAAATTGGAAACAGTCAACCTGTAGGGACAAAGTAATTAGCTGCAAGGTCAATCTGAAAGGAGAAATTGAACAAGTAGGTGGAAAATACCTGCATAAGATCGAAACATTTTGAACCACAGAAACAGACTAATAACATTAGACCAGCAGTATTCTAAGCAATTCTTATCAAGGATAAAGATTTCAAACACTTTAAACCATCTTGGGTACACCAGTGTTTGTATATGCACACATGAGCACCTCTGGACACTTACAAATTTTTGTAACTCTGTGGTTCTTAACCGAGAGATGATACTTTGAAACTATGGGGTGACACGTGGAGGAGTTAGTGACAAAGAAGGAAAACCAGGAATAGCCTGTAGTATCCACAACAAAGAACTGTCCCACTGAAAAACGTTCAGTTCTCCCAAACTGAGTAACTGAACCAGTAAAACTCTAGTTCATAACAGCTAATCCCCAAATGATGTCCATAAACTCAGATTAACATCAGAGATAAAAATCATGGCATATTAGCCTGAAAAAGACCAATTCCCTCACTTGTGAAACTGGGAATTTGACTTACCCATTGTTATGTAACTATTATAAGAGGGAGTCTTTTGCCTCCAAGTTCAGCAAATACCTCACTTCCTAGATAATGTACTGAAAGGCATCCTAATCTATCTTCACTCTTCTACCATCAAAACCTCCCTGACAAAGCTGACTGATTCCGAAGTCCAAAGACATGGTCATTTCTGACACCTCTGCAACCTCCCTTCGAGCCCAAGCAGACTGTGTAGGGTACCAGCACCATTCAACTCTGTAAATTGCGAAGTATATAAATCAGTACCCCCCACACCAAGATTAATTCCTCTGAATGTTTTTTCAAGCGATATTAACAGACATACCTGGGAGATGTAATATGCAGCGACAAAACTTGGGGCAGGTGGAACATATTCTTTGATACTCAGATTTGGTAGATTTAAGGTGAATTATTAATTGTAATTGTGTTTCGAATCTACTGCCTCTCAAACACATTCAAATATAAATGCCAACAATGTCCTGAGACTGGAATCATGAAAATCAAGTCTCTTAAAAATCCAGTACAGGAAAGGAACTCAGTGTGGGACCTGGGATTTACAGCTTTTAACCTAAAGGTCTTGCCACATCTAGCTGCCTCCTCCTTTAATCCTATCTTCGGGAAAGTGTAGTGAAACAAGAAGGTACAAAAATAAGGGAAGTGAATGCAGTTTTTAAACCAAGCTCTGGCCAATTTTATTAAAGAAAAATTTCCCATGATTTACTTTTCACCAGTCTGTTCTGGCATGCTTCTAATGATATCAGAATCACCTGGAAAAGAAAACAATAATAATTTTACAATTCATTTAATGGCAACTGGTAATCATGAAATTAACAGTGGTTATCTTCAAGTTATTGCACGAACTGTCCTGCCATTTCCTGAGGTTGATCATATATATCAGACTTGGTTTATCACCAGCATTTAGAAAACCAGACCTAGGGAAAGAACTAGGTCTGGGGACACATGCATGGTCTTAATATAGCGAATGTTTAGCCTGCCCTGATTATCACAAAATCAGAACAGCGAGAATATTCGCAGTATTTTATGAATTAAAACTTCTTAAGTTCAAAACACGTGCAGTTGACCCTTGAAATCAGGGATTAGGGGTGCCGACCCCTATGTGTAACTTAAGTCGGCCTTCTACACATGTATTCCCAACCACAGATTGAAACTACTGTCTTTGTGCTATAGTTGGTGAATCCACGGATGGGAAACCCATAGAAAGAAATCTGTATATGTGACTCATGAAGTTCAAACTTGTGTTTTTCAAGAGTCAATTGCTTTCAACCAATGTTTCCTCTCTGTTTAAGCAGCCAGTAGAGATTACTTTCCTCTATTCACCTGATACTTTTCCCCTTTTATAATGTCATCTTTTACCAAGGCCCTCAATCATTATGTTGAGAGATCAAATAAAATTCACAATCTCAAAGTACAGAAAAAAAAGAATTCACTTATAGCAAAGCCAATGTACTGACTCTTGTCAATTCTCTATGAAATAAGGATATCCTTTAATATATCCAAATTATCACCATCTGAACTCAGGAATCAGTATAGCAAATACTTGTATTACATTATAAAGAAAAGAATATACAATTTAAGAAGCATACCTGGATCAATGATAGCCAGTGTGCATACCCTGTAGTATTTTCCACACGCTGTGCCCAATTCAATATTATTGCCACTGTAGTGATGGACACCAGTCTTGGCCAACATGGCATAGTACTCTATTTCAGATTTCCTTTGGGAACAAAAAAGGGCAAATAAATGCCATACCAAATGACTGACAGACTTAAGTATTTACCACCTCTCTCATTAGTTTTAATGCTGGTGAGGCCTTCCAACAGTAAATAAGCCAGTTATTACTATTTTTATCCAGTTATTACTCTTAAGAACCTATTTCATTGGCCAATACAAACCATCCTTTACTTGGATCCCTTACAAAAGATATGAGACAACCAGCAAAAATCTACCAAACACCTACGTTTAAGACGGCATCTATGCTCATGGAAAAGAGGGTAGGGTGCAAAACCAAAGCATTATTTACTTAGTGTTTACTGCATACCGGATACTTTACAGAATAAGAAATGGAGGAATCAGAATTCAAACTTATGTTACCCTGAAAAGATGGTCCATTGCTATCACCCTTTGATGCGGAATCGTAGATTGGAGGTGATATTACCCAGAATTAACGTTTGTAGCAATTGAGTAGGTAGATATTAGTGGCTTCACAAATTTGACGGGAGTTCTAACAGAACTTTGCTCCAACTCAAAGTGTGGATCCAGACCAGCAGTGGTGTCAAAAGGGGCTTGTTAGAAATGCATCATCTCAGGCCCATTCAGACCCCAAATCAGAATCAGCAATTCACTCCTGGGTTCATGTCTGAGAAGCACTGCTATAGACAGCAGACTAAAGAGGAATGCCTGAAACAAGACCAAACTATGGGGTGGGGAGCACTCCCGTCAGTACATACATCCCTATAAAATGCTACGTGATGCATCATCACTGAAAACCAACGTGGGGAGGGGGCTGATCATGGCTTATACTCTGTAAGTTCAAAGTTTCCTTTCCTTATTTACAATGCCCACTACATTCAATTTTAAAAGTTGAAAAAACGGTGGCTGAGAACTGGCACGGGAGGATGAACTAAGTGATTCTATGACAGCCTGCAACTCCACCGTCAGCCTGAACTTCCCTGAACTAGCTTTTCTACACCAAAGCGAGCTCAGACAATGAAGCACTTTTAGAGCATCTCAAAGCTAAATGACCAAAGACACAGCACAAAATACATGTAAAAACAACATCGATGTATGTGCTCCCCTCAAACGTTTGACATTCTGTGGTCTTTACCAATTCTGCCCCATTTCTCCAGTTAAGGTAAGCTTACACGGGGAGAAAACATGCTTGGGGGGGGGGCGTGTGGAATTTGAATCCAGAGCCAAACACCGTAACAGCTAAGTCATTCCCAATAGCAGCCTCCCGCCAAGTGTTCGCTTATAAGACACATCTCATCTCGAGTGCAGGCCACCCACACTGCCGGTCTGCACGCCGCCCATTCGCTCCCGACGACCTGGCAGGGAGCGCACACACCTCAAGGCCGGGCAGTTGTTGGCCAGGATGACCAGCTTCGCTTTGCCCTGTCGGATCATCTTCAGCGTCTGCTTGTACCCCAGCACGTACTTCCCGCTTTTCATCACCAGCTGGAGCCTGGAGTTGATCGACTCCAACGACTTTTTCTACAAAGCAAACATTTGCCGTGCATCTGAAAGGCCTGGTTCGGAACCACCGCAAAACTGGACCCAGCTTTCTGCAAGCCGGGACCATGAATAAACCCTCCGAAGGCCAGGTCCCAAGTCCTTGAAAGGCCCAATCGGGTTCCTTTTGGGAGCCCCCCCCGAATCCATCGGGCGTGCTGTCTCCCCAGGGTGCTCCCCTGCCCACCCCGCCGCCGAGACAGCTCCCCACGTGAACCGGCTTCCGGCCCGGCCCGCTCCACTCACCGTCTTCTTTGCGGCCACCATCTTCCTGCCTCAAGTGCGGGACGGCCCCCAACCTACAACACACGGAGCACAGGAAAGGGAGCTCAGGAACCCGAGGTCCAATGGCAACCCGCGGGGCCCCCCGCGAGGCGAAAGCGCCAGCCGCTGGAGCCCACTCACCAGATGCAGCCGCCAAGATGGCCGGGGAGCGAGAAAGGAAGTAGTTCCCACAATGCAAAGCTCTTCACCACCCAGCCGGGAGCCCCGACCGGAAGCGGAAGCAGATCGCAAGCGGAAGAGGCGGGGCAAGAAGGGAAGGACCGCTCCGGTTGCTATAGGTACCGCTGGGGAGGGCGGCGCGGGTGTTGTGAGCTGAAACCGGCCAAGTGCCTGAGGTCGGCCCTGCTCGTGGCTCTGGCTTCCAGCTGCGGCCTGAGGAGCCGCGGTCGGCGGAGCTGGCTGGGAGCTGGAGAACCGGCTGAAGGTGAGGCGGGAGGAGCGGCGAGCAGAGGCGGCGCGGCTGCACCACGGTCTCCGCGCGGCTGCTCTTCTCTGCCCGAAGCCGAGGCTCTCGGAGAGCGGGAGGACGGCGGCGCGGGTCTGCCCTCGCCGTCCCTGTCGGCATTTCCTGGGCCGACGCAGCTGCCTGCCCGCCCCTGCCCTCGCCCTGGTTGCTGGTTCCTCCAAGAACCGTAGCGCCCCGCCCTGGCTTCCCCAAACCCACCTCTTTCTTGGCCGTGTTGGTGTCAAACTTGTAAGCCGAATTTACACAGAGGAGGAATAATAACTTACTTATTTTTAAAAATAAGTTTTTACTGATTTTAGAGAGAGGAAGGGAGAGGGAAACATCCATTGACCAGAGATCGAATCCACAACCGGGCATGTACCCTGAGCGGGAATCGAACCCGCCACCTCCTGGTGTACGGGATGCTCCAACTAAGCTCCAACCAACTGAGCAATACTGGCCAGGGCTCAGATAAACTTATGAGAATCCTCTACATGTTTGGATGCATTATTATTATTTTTTAATGTATTTTTATTGATTTCAGAGAGGGAAGAAGAGGGAGAGAGAGGTAGAAACATCAGTGGAGAGAGAGAATCATTGATCGGCTGCCTCCTGCTTGCCCCCTCCTTGAGGATCAAGCCTGCAACCCGGGCATGTGCCCTTGACTGGAAGTGAACCCGGGACTCTTCAGTCCGCAGACCGATGCTCCATTCACTGAGCCAAACCTGCTAGGGCTGGTTGTATTATTTAACATCAATGCACACCCTGAGCCCAAAACCACTCTGGTGTACAGGGTGATGCCAACCAACTGAGCCATGCCAGCCATTCTTAACCAATATATACATATTTGTATATGCATGTAAAGTTCAAGTCTGGAAAGCTAATTAGCAAACTTTTCTCGGAATGAAAGATGAGAAAAGTAGATGGTAAGGAGGGGATATTTACTATTTATGCATTCCAGTAGTGCTTAAATTGTTTCACATTAAATTATTTTACAGCATGCATTAGTTATGTGAAAAGCTCCTTTTAATAATGTGGTTATTTTAATTAGATCTTGTGAAACATCAATTATATCTTCAAGCAGTATGGCTCTCAAATCACCTGATTCAGAATCACCTTGAATTCTGACTCCTGGGCCCCACCCAGGTCAGTAGAAGAGATCTCTGGACGTGGGGCCTTGGAATCTGAGTTTAATAAGCAGCCTTGAAGGTGCCTATCAATACTAAAATTTGAGAAAGATAAAGAATGAGATAGCCAAATTAGTTTTGAGGCAAACCTGCTTAGATAGAGATATAAACTAAAAAAAATGATGCCTTACACTTTTATATTGAGCTCTATATTTTCAGAGCTTTTTGATATTTTCCAAGGTAATCAGAATATTACCCCCATTGTAGAGAGTGAATGATTACAGCACTAGCGATGACTTTCCTGAGATGATTTTCATTATGATACCAAGTTTCTGGTCCTTGGTGTATGTTTTTACTATACATTAAAGAAAGGGTTAGTTACTTTCTCTCGGCGATCGTAGGGTGTTTTGTACTAGAAGCCAGAGAAGCCCAGCACACAGTGTGTATGAATTATGACCACAAAATGGCTGAGCAGCCTTCTAGGGAATCTTAACTGATTCTGCTGACTCTCTTTGGGACAGACTTAGGATCTTTGTTTTTCTATTTAATGCCTGCATGACTTTGGGCAAATCTCAGTTTCTTCAATAAAACTAGAATAATAATGTCTACCTCATAGTATTGTGAGGATCATAATAAACGTACCAGTGTATAAAGCACCTAGCACAGGGTCCTGTACAGAATAAGTGTATAGTGTATGTTAGTTCCCTTCCTCAGTCTCACTGCTACCTCCCCAACCTCGCCATCACAGCCACCTGCCCACAGCTGAAGTCACCCACATCACAACACCTATGCACTAGAGCAGTGGTTCTCAACCTTGGCTGCACATTAGAATCTTTGTTACTAATGTTGTGGCCCCGCCCCATAACAAAGAAACAGAATTTCCGGAGGATGAGGCCCAGAAATCAGGATTTTAAAAAGATTCCCAGGTGATTCTAATGTGCAGCCAAGGTTGAGAACCACTGCACTAGAGGAAGAAACACTTGCCATGCAAGAATTGACAGTCGCCAAAACCAGTTTGGCTCAGTGGATAGAGCGTCGGCCTGCGGACTGAAGGGTCCCAGGTTCGGTTCTGGTCAAGGGCATGTACCAGGGTTGCGGGCACATCCCCAGTGGGAGATGTGCAGGAGGCAGCTGATAGATGTTTCTCTCTCATCGATGTTTCTAACTCTCTATCTCTCTCCCTTCCTCTCTGTAAAAAATCAATAAAATATATTTAAAAAAAAAAAAAAAAGAATTGACAGTCAAATCCTTTGGCTCATGAAGATTTTGTAAATATTTTCACATTTATATTTATTAGAGCAGGAGTTGGCAAACTTTTTCTGTACAGACCAAACAGTAAGAATGTTATGCCTTTTAAGCCATATGGTCTCTGTGCAACTACTGGATTGTAGTGTAGCGCAAAAGCAGCCACAGACGATATGTAAATGAGTGAGTGTGGCTGTGTTCCAATAAGACCTTATTTACAAAATCAGGCAGCTGTCCGGACTTGGTCATATGGGTGAGCCCCAATCCAATAGGATTGGTGTCCTTATGAGATGAGAGTAGGACACAGACACGCATGGCAGGAAGACCACGTGAAGACACATGGAGACTGCCATCCACCAGCCAAGGAGAGAGGCCTCTGAGTGAAACTAACCCCACTGACACCTTGATTTTACTTCTAGCCTCAGAATTGTGAGAAAATAAGTTTCTGTTAAGTCATCCGATCTCTGGTACCTTGTTTTATAGCAGCCTTAACAAACTAACACAGATAATAACATAACCATTGAATAATGTAAAAATTCATGGGTATCCACTGATACAAGTGAATTTTAAAGGGAGGAAAAGGGAAAATGCTCCCTTAATACAGAATTCAGAAGGAATAGTGTAATTAAAATGATCACATTTCATAACCATCATAAACATAATTGACCCAAATAAGATTAATATACTAGAGGCCCAGTGCATGAAATTCGTGCATGAAGGGGGTCCCCTCAGCCCAGCATGCACCCTCTCCAATCCAGGATCCCTCTCACAATCCAGGACCGCTGGCTCCTAACTGCTCACCTGCCTGCCTGCCTGATCACCCTAACTGCGCCCCCCCCCCCCCCCCACCAGCCTGATCACCCCTAACCATCTCTGCCTGCCGGCCTGATCACTCCTAACTGCCCCCCCTGCTGGCCTGGTTGCCCCCACTGGCCCCCCCCCCCACTGGCCTGGTCGCCCCCAACTGCCCCCTCCTGCCTGCCTGGTCACCCCATGCAGCCTGCTGTTCGGTTGTCCATCCAGTTGTTTTGGTTGTGACAGCCCCTGGCTTTTTATATATTAGGATGCTGGAAGTGGGAGATAAAAGTTTGATGAGAAATAGGATGTTTACTTAAAGTCTCCCCCATAAATTACAGATTTAAAAAGTAACTTTTTAATAAAAAAACTTGGCAGACATTGTCTTAATTACAAGCCTCTTCATAGGAATACACAAACAACATAATGTGTTCCAGCCCAAAGTGCATCACCTGAAAGTAATCAGGAGAAAACAGACAAACCCAAACTGAGAAAGGTTCTGCGAAATAAATGGCCTGTTCTCTTTAAAAATGTCAAGGCCATGAAAGACAGACTGGGGGAATGACTTCAGATGAAAGCAAACTAAAGAGAGGTACAACAGGCCCTAGCGGGTTTGCTCAGTGGATAGAGCGTCAGCCTGTGGACTGAAAGGTCCCAGGTTCGATTGGGGCCAAGGGCACATGCCTGGCTTGTGGGAATCCAACCTCAGTAGGGGGTGTGCAGGAGGCAGACTCACTGATGTTTCTATCTCTCCCTTCCTCTCTGAAATCAAATAAAAAAATTTTTTTTTTTTTTAAAAAAAGAAAGGTACAACAAGTAAATGCAACATGTGGTTCTGGGTTGGACAACTGACCCAAGACCCAAGTTGAATACGAGGGTGGATTAAGTAGAACTATATCCGCGTTAAACTTCCTTGTGGTAACTGTACTAAAGTTAGGTAAGATTAAAACTGCATCGCAAGTGTAGTCCACCAATCAATAGCCACTGATCTCCTCTCCCCAGCTGCTTAGTGATGATTCAGAGAATCCCTCCACCCTCTTCCCAACATCATTTCTATTCCTGCTGTCCGGCCTTTCCTACCCGTCCAGCTTCTCCTCTCCCACCTTCTCCTCCCCCGACTCCTGGCCCCTGTCCTCTCCCTCTGGCTGCTCTGCGCTCCTGGCTCCTAGCTCTCGGCGGCTCCTTCCCCTCCAGGTGCGCCCCGCCGCCCCGCCGCCCCGCCGCCCCGCCGTGCGCTTGCGCTCTGCAGCCGCGGGAGCCGGCCCCGGAGTTGCAGGAACTTCTGCGCTGCGGAGCCGTCGCGCGGGACCCAGGCTCCCGGGCGGATACCGCGTGGGGCCGGGAGCGGTGGCCGCACTCGCCCTCCGGGCCGCGCTCCTGCCCGCGGCGGCGGCGCCACGATGGGCTGCTCCAGCAGCGCCCTCAGCCAGGCCGGCGACAGCCGCGGACGCCGCAGCGGTGAGCAGGGATTCGGGTCGGCTCGCTCCCCGGGGTCCGAAAGGTGCGACTGGTGCCCACCCGCCCGGCAGGGGGCGGGCTCCTCCCCGAGGATGGGAGTGGAACCCTCTCCGAGCGCCGCTGCTGACCCGGGGGGCGGCGGTCCGCGTGCGCCCCGCGCGCCCCGATGCGCGAGGCCAGGGTCCGGCGCTGGGGTTACTCCGTCTCCGGTGTGCTCGCGGGCATTATATCCCGAAATCTCTTAAACATATGAGTAATTTCCTGTCCTTAACAATAGATGCTATTTAATTTACCAAAAGAACGAAACTTCAGATTATAGAACAGTGTGAATTCCATTTCGTTGTGGTCGTAAGG